TGTTCCCTCTGCATCTTCTGAAAACATCCTCTTTAACCACTGAATTTCGTATTTTCAAATAGATCCAAACCATTTATGGCATAGAGCCGTCAGCCTTCTCAATCCTCATTATTTCCTTTTCCTTTTGAAAGTCCTCCTCTAACTACTCCTCCTCAAAAGACATCCTTGGACTTTGAAAGATTTCACCGTAAACGAATAAAATCTTCTACGTGTTATTCGGCTGGTCCCTTGATTCTACCCATATTAATCTTTCCAGTCACCAAACACATTCTGTCTCCCAATAAACTTCTCATCCATTTATGGCATCACACCATTCAGCTTCTAAAACCTTTTAAGACTTCCTTTTGAATTTTGAAAACCCAACCACCCATCCTAGGAAAACGCTCTCAGCCTTTACTTCCTCCCTTATCGTTTCTATATATATTCTCTCCATCCTTATCGTTTGCCAACAACTTTCATTTTATCTTCTTTCCTCCTTCTAAAACCCTAAAAGAAAATCTCCACCCACGAAAAATTAAAGATCATGGCCTCTAAGAAACCTTCCAAGCCAACTACTAGCTTATCCCTACCAGCTCCTTCTATTCAAACTAAAATCAAGACTCGAAGCCATAGTCACCAAATTCAAGTACTCTTGAAGTCTTTAAACCTTGCTAGACTTTATCTTGAACCTCTGATTCACTTCAAAGATTCCTCAGTTGGATTGGGTCCAGCCTTTACCGACGTAGCCCCTGTGAATTAGCCGAATTCTATCATTCCGGTAAGTCCCCTCTCCCCTTTGATTCAGAGTTCCCTTTTATTTAAAAGAAAGGGAAAAAAGTGAAACCCTCATTCAACATAAGAAATTGGCCAACATATCGTTCATCCTGGTCTCCATAGGTGAATTGACTTTCCAAGGACGAAAAAATCTCTTCACAGTGGAAGAAATAAGGCATCTATGACATTATCCAAATCAGTAAGTCCTCCATTACACTTGATCCAAACCTCCTCTTTCCAGCTCTTTTCTTTTGGTCTTCAACCACCAATTCCCTGCATCTCAAATGTGGAATGATGTCCCCCACGTTGAGAAATATTTGTTACATTATAGGTCTTAAACCCCATGGAGATGATGTAAGCGCCACCCTCTTTATTGAACAATTCCTTTTTCCTACCAAGACTATTGGAAGCAAGAAATTTATCTCCTCCCATCTCTCTTTTATTAAACATTGTAGGAAAACTGGCCCAGTTCAAGAAGATGAACACATTGCTTTCCTGATTTGTTGGCTTTCTGGCCATTTGCTGTATGTTCCATCTGGCCAAGTCACAAAAGACTTTGTTCAAGTAGCGGTTTCCCTAGCCAGAAATGGAGACTTGGCGCTAGCTCCCCTTGTGATTTCTCACTTATACAGAGGTCTTCACGATCTCCTTGCTTCCAAGTTTTCAAGGTTCTAAGGCCCCTTTTGGTTGTTCCAAATGTGGCTTAAAGTGTACTTCTAAAATAGAACTTCATCCCTAGTCACTCCAACTGGGAAATCCCTTTTGTGCCATTCCTTGGTCACCGCAGATCCTTCTCCTTTCAGCTTTGCTGAAAACTTTGAATATTTCTACAATCAATATGAGACTGGTAATGATGGGTTCTTTGATCCATTTACCGCCATTGGTTACATGCCATCATGGTTGGTTCCATCTCCTGGAGTATCCACCAAAAAACATTCCGAAGATTGGAAAAATATTTGGGCTAGCTTTCTTCTTTCTCGTGACCTCCATTACAGCATTGCTTAGCCTACTCCAAATAATAGCTTCTGTGGCGTTGAGTTCTACAATCCAGCCCAGCTGTCAAGGCAAATGGGCTTTACCTAAATGATTCATTTGCCACCTTACAAATCTTACAACAGATTCTTTGATCAACGTGTTCGTCTCATAGATGCTGAACAATTTGCAGCGATTGACCAAGCCTATGCAGCTGAAAGAGCAGCTTTTAATTTTCAAGGCCATATTAGCAAGCCTCAATCAACTAATGAATTTGATGTGTGGTGGTCAACTTATATTTCCTCCACCCGAACCAAGAATCATAAGGCTGTTTGCGATTCCATACTGGCATCCTTCAAGCCTTTGTCTCCAGGTATAAATGTATTTACTGTAAATTCCATTTTTTCCGTTCTCCTTTTTTTTTTTTTTTTTTTTTTTTTTAAATCCGTCAACCTTCCATATACTGAGACTTAGTTATTTTCAGATGGAGAAGAAGAAGTTCTTGAAGAAAGTGAAGAGGATGAAGGTGGAGAGAAAACCACTATAGTGACTAGCAAAATTGAGGGTGTGGCCGAAAGTGGTGATGTAAGTATTGAAAGTCTTTCTTCAAGTGATGATGAAGAGGAGGAAGAAGAAGTGGAAGAGGAAATACCAGAGGAAGAGGAGGATGCTTTATATAAGGCAAAGGGAAAAGGAAAAACCTCTCAGGTATTTCAATATGGTTAAACGTAGCACTTCCATATTTTGGACCTTACTTGTACTTCCTCTTGCAGGGACTGGCCATTGTCAAAAAGGAATTTCAACCCCAACTTTCCTCATCTGATGAAGATTCTTCTGATGGTTAAGTCGGCATTTCCAAAGGACTAACTGCTACTCAACATTCCAGTAAAGCCCTCAAAGTGCGTAGCCCCTCTGGAAAAATTGTTGGAAAGGCAAAAAGGAAAATCATGCTTGAACTGGAAAAAACTGAAGAGTTTAAGCAACCCAGAGACTCTCCAAAACACAAGAAACCAAAACCATCCAAAGAACTTGTTTTGGTAAGTCTCAAAACCTGTCCTTCTTTAATTTCATTACTTAAAAAATGTTTATAACTTCAAACTTAACCAACAGGGCTCTACTATGGGACACAACTTCATGAATATCCATCTGGATCAACAAATTGCACAATGAGAGGACTTGGCCCTTCAAGCTTCAATTATGGAGAGTTTGACCCATAAAAAGTGAGAAAAATCTTCCTGTTCTGACTTCCACAATTGGAATGTCCATTCCTTCCATAACTGGTGGAACTTTTACCAGCCATACTCCTTCCATCCCAGAGGCAAGTCTTTCTTCTTTTAATTTTGCCTCCTTTCTTTCTATCTAATAGAAACTTATTTCCATTTCAGGCTACTCCTTCTTTGTCTACTTTGACCTCCTTTATGGTACAGAGGAGAGCTCTTTCAACTTTGGCTGATCTTTACAAGGTGATCAAGGCCACTAAATCTTCCAGTACTTCCACTTCGAGTGCAAGTATCCTTACACTTCCAGGACCTTCAGATGATGTTATCAAGGTGGCCAAAGAAAAATTATTGTCTTACCTTGCTCATGATGTAGAGGATGTGGTATCCTTCCATCAAAGTCTGGCCAGCACCATAATGACCCTCAAGAAACATCCTAAATTTCCTGAGTTCATCCAAGCTTCTTTGACTAAGTTGGAACACCAACTCCAATTCATTGTTACCTATGTAAGCTCCAGCACTTCTACAATTTTTGAGTATGAAAAGGAGGCCAAGCTCAAAGATAAAGCCTTTGAGGACATCCAACTCTCTCTATAATCTTATCCAGAAATCAAAGAGCGAGCTGAAAAACTTATGGCCAAGAAAGAAGAACTGAATGAGGAACTGGCCAAGATTCAAAGGGAACTGGAACAAGTGGAGCGTGAAGAATTTTATTTGGACCAAATAGCTAATGCCCTTGTCAATGTATCTGAACCTTTAAGGAAGGAATGGGAAAAGCGGGTTGATGAGTTTCCCAAATTTGTGGATGCTAAGGTTAGGGCATTGGCTACTCTTGGAGAAGCAAGGAAAATTTGGATGGAACTTGGAAGTGTTCTTGCTTTTATTTGATCTTATGTGGTTCTTTTTTATGGTTTTGTCATGTGGATGGAAGACTCGTAGGTTTTTTGGATAATGGTAGGAAATAAATGGTAGATACTTTCTGCATGGCCAACTCTAGGTTTAAGAGTCCATTTTTGAGCTTTGTAATGAAATCTAGTATCTAATGAGATAGCGTTCTATTTCCCAATCCTTTGCATGTGCCTCTTTCACAGTTTATATGGAAAAGAAATTTCTAAGTCACTGAAACTGGAAAATTCCTTCACATATATTTACAATAAGGCATAGCCATAAAATGGCTTTTCATAACAAAGGAAATTCAGAGAAATAAAAGAAATTGCCACAATGGAAATGCATGTATATACAAGCAAGATGAATAATTTCCAATAGGAACAGAACCTGAACTATATAGTGTAGCCACTTTCTCGCTTAAGTCTTCTATACTTGGGAAATTAACTGGTCTTAGAATTTCAACTAAGTCTGCTTCATAACTTTAGCCAATGTACTTTTCTAAGTACTTAACTTTTCCTTCTTGAAACGAATTCTTCCTCCATTTTGACTTAGCTACAAGAATGGCCAAAGTATGGCCAACATGCCTCCTTTCCAACTCTCCGGTTTACTTGGAAAGGATGGTACCAGCCACATTATGTGGCCGGTTGAATAAGTGTTGCTTTCCAATCTTCATAGATGGGGGTGATACTCTTTCAAGTGCACACCATTCACAGGATGCTTATGAGACCCTCCATCTATGTCCATCAATCTATAAGCCCCTTTTCCAAGGACTCGTTCCACCAAGTAAGGACCTTCCCAATTAGGTGTCCATTTTCCATATTCCAAACTTTTAGCCCCAGGTGGGAACTTGACCTACCATACCAAGTCTCCTTCCACAAATGTCTTTGCCTTGACCTTTTTGTTGTATGCTTGCATGACTTTCTTCTTTTGAGCAATAATATGATCCAATGTATTAAGACGGACCTCATCAAGGTCTTCCAATTCTGCCAACATGGTATGGTTGTAATCTGCTGGAGTTAGCCTATTTTAGAAAGCCACCCTTGCAGATCTGATAGTCATCTCCATTGGAAGGACGGCATCATGCCCATATGTAAGCACATATGGTGTGACGCCCGTACTTGACCTTTTTGAATTCCTATAAGCCCAAAGGACCTCAGAAAGTAGGTGATGCTATTCCTTTGGATGATTCTCCATCATCTTTTCGAGAATGTTGAGAATTACTTTGTTGGAAGCTTTTGCCTGCCCATTTGATTGTGCAAAATATGGGGTAGAACTGATTACTTGGACACCACACTCAGCACAATAATCCAAGACCTTACTGCTAACAAAGGAAAGACCTCTGTCAGTAGTGATAGTCTCTGGAATTCCAAACCTACGTATGATGTGCTTTTTGATAAAATCAATTACTGTTGACTGTTCACAAGTCTTTAATGGAATAGCCTCAACTCACTTCGTGAAATAATCTGTTGCCACCACTATGTGAGTATGGCCATCTGAAGATGGAGGCCTTAATTTTCCAATAAAATCCAAAGCCCATCCTCTAAAAGGCCATATTTTTACTACCGGCTGCATGTTAATAGCTGGAACTCTTTGGATAGGGCCATGTTCTTGACATGTAATGCAAGTTTTTGCAAACTCTATGCAATATTTTAATATGCCTTTCTAGTAATAACTGTACCTTCTAAGAAGCCACCTTATCTTGATTCCAGCTTGATGGGCTCCGCATATTCCAAGGTGGGATTCTGTCATCACCCTCATGGATTCATTCTTGCCAAGGCATCTTAACAAAAGTCCATCTTCTTTACTCTTCTTGTAGAGATTTTCATCAATCAGAATGTAATGTGGTGCCAAAAGCTGAATTCTCTTGTCCACTTTGGAACTAGGTTCCTGCAAGAATTGGATAATTGGTGTCCTCCAGTCCTTCAAGTTTAATCCATCCATATCAATATTGAAAATCTCCCATGTCTTTTTAGCAAGTTTGATTTTTTCTGGCTCGTCAGATTGGGAATGACCTGCCACCTCATATCGTGACTCTACCGAAGGAAGAACTCTCCTTTTGATTGTGATCAATGTCTCTTCTACACCCAGTGGGACTTCCACTCGAGAGGCTAATTGTGCTAGATCATTAGCCTCCGTATTTAAATGTCATGGCCAATATTTGAGTTGGAAATCATCAAACTGGCAAAGTAATTCTAAGGCTAAAGAATGGAAAGGCCTCAAATGCCAGTTAAGACATATATATTCTTCAGAAAGTTGGCTAAGTATCAAGTTGGAATCTCTAATAATCTGGACCTTCTCCACCTTTAACTCTAACAGAATTTCCAGCCCAATAATTAGTGCCTCATACTCAGCTTGGTTGTTTGTACATTTGAAATCCAAGAAGAAAGAAAATGTGGTTTTCCTTCCTTTTGGAGAAATGATGACTATTCCAGCTCCTCCTCCATCATGGGTGCTTGATCCATCAAACATGAGTGTCCAAGGTGTGTAATCAAGGTAAAGATTGTCCACCTTGTCACATACTTCTAAATCAATATTGGTGGAAAGATGATCTGCTAGAAATTCTACCACCGCCCTTCCTTTAACAGCTTTTTGTGGAATATAGCCAATGACCACTTTCCAATACGTCCAGTGATCAAAGGCCTGGAAAGCATATACTTGATCAAATTTGTTTGAGAAATTATATACACGGCCACTGGCAACATGTAGGTTCTCAACTTCATAGCGGCATAATACAAAGAAAGACACAACTTTTCAATGGAAGTGTTCCTACATTCCACTGGAGTAAGCACCCTACTTAAGTAGTAAATGGCCTGTTCCTTCCCCCATTCATTATTCTGAGCTAGGAGAGATCCGATGGACTCCTCAGAAGCTGATAAGTATAATCTTAAAGGCCGCTTCTTGATTGGAGGCATCAATACTGGAGGGTTAGCTAGGTAGCTTTTCAAACCCTTAAAGGCTAGCTGGTGCAGCTCCGTCCACTTGAATTCCTCAGCACCCTTTAACTTCAGCAATGGTGAGAAAACATGTGTCTTTCCAGCATGGTTGGCAATGAACCTCCTTAAATATCCAACCTGACCAAGAAATCTTTGTAGTTCTTTCTTAGTGGTTGGTGGCTTCGCTTCAATAATCGCCTTTGCTTTATTTTGATCTAACTCAATACCTCTTTGATGAACCAGGAAACCCAGGCAGTTTCCAGCCGAAACCCCAAAGGCACACTTTAAGGGATTCATTTTCAACTTGTGTTGCCTCATTCTTTCAAAAGCCATCTTTAAATTATGGAGATGTTGATCCTTAACCGAGGATTAGATGACCACATCATCAATGTAGACTTCTAAGAAATGGCCAATCATGTTATGGAAATGGCATTCATGGCCCTTTGATACATTACTCCGGCATTCTTCAACCCAAAGGGCATGACAACCCATTCAAAAGTTCTAATGGAACCTGGACATCTGAATGCAGTCTTAGCAATATCTTCTTCCGTAATATAAATCTGGTTGTACCCCGAATGTCCATCCATAAATGAAAGAATTTCATTCTTGGCAGCAGAATCTACCAACTGGTCAGCAATGGGCATGGGATATTCATTTTTTGGAGTTGCAAGATTAATATTCCGAAAATCCACACATATCCTTAACTTACCATTCTTCTTAATAACTGGAACTATGTTGGAAATCCAGTCAACATACCTGGCGGTTCTTATAAAACCAGCCTTGTGTAACCTTTCAATCTATTCTTTGACCTTTAGAACAATTTCTTGGGACATCCTTCTTTGGGGCTGCTTGAAAGGCTTGAAACCTTCCTTAATTGGCAGTTTATGCTCTACCAACTCTCTGGAAAGTCCTGGCATTTCCTCATACGTCCATGCAAAGCAATCTTTGTATTCTTCAAGTAAGGAAATCAATTCTTCTCTAAAGGTTGGTTCTAGAAGCTTACTGATGTAGGTAGGCTGAGGGTCTTGCTTCGTTCTAAGATTAACTTCTAAAAGTGGGTCCTGCACTTCAGCCTTGAGATCATCTAACTTCATTGGCGCTGCCTTTAAGTCTGTTAGTTGGATAACATCTAATTTGTCCTCTGTATCTTCCATAATCTCTAAGACATTAGTTGAAAATGAAATACCAGCAACTGCAGCCTTTTCCAGCCGTAGTTCGGCTAGATAAGCTTTCAACCTGGAAAGGCAGCAATTAACTGCCTGGCCAAGTATTCTATCTTCTCTAGATTTTTCTTCCATAAAAACTCTTGTTTGAGATACATTTATGAATACCGGCCTTAGGTAAGATTGTTGGCCTTGGTGTTCCTTGGAAAAGTTCTCTTATGTCCTCTTCGGTGAGATTTCTTCCCATGGTAGCCTTCTTTGGACGGCCCTTGCTATCCTTTCCAATAAATCTGATTGGAACAAATTCATCACTATATAACTCAGCATCCGCATGATAGACTCTTGCCACAAATGGCCGGTTATCAGCTTTAACCACTTTTACCTCATCTCCATCCCAGAATATCAGCATTTGATGGAGTGAAGATGGAATGCAAAAGTTTGGGTGAATCCACTCATAGCCTAAAAGCAAGTTATAGGCTGCTGTAGACTCAATGACGAAGAATGCCGTAATTGAAGTTGTATCTCCCACCGTTAACTCCAACGGTAGAATGCCTTGTGTTTTCACTATTCCTCCCGTGAACCCGCTAATGGATACTTCAGTTCGAATGATATCTTCAGGCAACTTTCCAAGCATGCGCATAACATTGGCTGGAATCACATTCAAAACTGAACCATTATCTACCAGAACTCTTGCCAAAGGCCTCCCTTCCACTAGCACCTTGATATATAAAGGTTTGAGCTGCTGGGTCATACCATATGGTGGCTTTTCCAATACAATTTTCTTTGGAGCTGTAGGTTTGTTTTCTTCTATTACAACCCTTTTTGATTTCTGAAGACGCTCAGCCTCGTCCTCGAAAACTTCTTCTATATGGATACCATTATTTGGTTCCATTATGATTGGCTCAGAATTAGACTGTCCGGGGCTTTCCCTAGGAGGACTTGTATCTACTACTTCTCCTTCCATTGAATTTTGTTGATTTGGTTGTGGCTCAAAAAATAAAGGGAGAACCACTACCATATTGCAAGTAAATTCACCTGGAATGCTCCCGAAATAGATCTTCTTGCTACTGCTGGAAGTGTTAGAGATTTCCATGTCTGTTTTGTCTTTTATAGGAAGAAAGTCTGCCAACAAAGAATCCCCCACTTCTGATTCAAGATCTAGCAAGTCATCAGGATCTCTAACTCCTCTTTTTGCTGGAAGTTCTGATAAGTCAGATGGTTTGGCTGTCTTCTTTGGAGAATTGATCCAACCATGGTCTTTTTCCCATAATCTCCTTTTATCTGCCCTTTTCCTTTGTTGCCTTCGTTTTTGTGTGTGAGTCATATAGGAATCAACATGAATAGGGAACTTAGGATGCTCAAGTGTGATACCCCCGGATTTCCAGATTTGGGTTGGCCAGGCCCACGCCCGATTACCCGAGGATATCAAACCAATTAGCAATAATCGAACACAGAATACAATTAAAACAAATGAGATAAATAAAATTTGCTAAAATGAAAACTAAAAATGATAATCCAATAATTGAAACCTCAGAATAAATAATTCCATTGATAAATAAACTATTCTGTTACAACTGATCCTCCACGAATACAAATCGTTCTCCAAATTATACAACTCGGGAATCCATTTAGTGGACCCCTAAAATATCCCACTGAACTCAAATGACTGGAAATAAAACAAAAGCCTAAAACATAAAACAAAGTCCTACAGCATCAGTGGAGTGAATGACTATATCTGCTCAGTACGATCCAGCTCTAAGACTGGAACTAACAAACACCTGTAAAAATAGGAGTGGGTCAGACCCATATGTAAATTCTTCTCTAACTACAATCCAAACAGTGACCCGATACGCAGATACACCCTAGATATCTTAGCAATAGCTATCTAGTCCATACATATATATATATCCATACTAAGGGACATTCACTGGACTACAGTAGGGGTCTCAACCTGAATAGAAGGTAACATGCGAAAACGCACCCAAAGGTGGGTATGAGTACCTAGACCTAACAGGGTACACCTCAACCTACTATAGCCAACTACGCATCCACTGCATATACGCACCCTAACCAACGAGTCTGAGACTCAAGCTCATCTCGTGGTACCATAACCATATATTTAAAATCCATTCATATCCATCCATAGGAAATCTAATAAATCATTCAGCTTATTCAACTGCACAGACTTATATAAGAGATCCAATAAGTCGTTCAGCTTATTCAATTGCACAGACTTAAATATAAGAAGAATTATGTTTTTTTTAATAATTCGTACCCTTATTCCAAAATAGGTAGGACTGAGTATTTGGAATCAGTCTATCACTAGTATGCCACCATCCCATACCGGTGCATACAATCCACAAAATCCATATAATTGATAGAACAGGTAAAGCTGTTCACCAATTTAAAATCCATAAGGTAGGAATTAGCGTTTTGAGCTAAACCATACCTAGTATGTCACCGTTCCATACCGGTACATACAATCCTCTATATCCATGTAAATTACAAAATATATATTAATTCAGCAATTAAAATCCAAAGCCATGTAAAAATTACGGACTTTGATTAATAGTACAACAATTTAATATCCAAAACCAAAAGCCAGGTAATTGCAGAATAGTTTATACAATACTATAGCAATTACAGTTCAAAACCATAATCCAATTAATTGTAGAATAATATATATGATTCCACAATTAACAGCCATAACCATGTAAACTACAATATATAAATAACAGTTTAGCAGTTTACAATCCAAAACCATTCCAAATAATTGCAGAAGAATATTTATTATTTCAGCAATTTAAATCCCAGTAATTGCATCAAAGAATTTAATATTCTAACAATTAACATCCAAAGCATGCATAGTTCAAATTTAATAAGTAAATGACCTTTTCATGCATTCAACATTAAGTTTTATAAATATACTCAACCCCATTAAATTGCTAAAATCTAATTAAGCAATTAATCTGTCTTCCATCCGTTAGCAACATATGAAGTTCTTTAATTCTATAATGTTCTAACTACTTACATCCAGAGTATGCATAAATCAACTTCTAAACATCAATGACCCTATAATGCATTTTGAACAATTTTATAAACATATTAGATCCCACTGGAATACCCCAAAACAAACTTAAGCAATTAAATCTTCATCCATCCATTAACTGTATACAACGTGCATAAGATTTATACGGTTTGTTCCATTAATTTAGAATTAAACTTTAATCAATTTAGGGTCTTAATAACACCCAAAAGCCATTCCTTAGTCCCTCTGTAAAGTCCCATATCCATTCAAACAGTTTCCATGCTCCAATAGTGTCAAACAAGTCGTAGAAAAAAAACATAACAGTATTTATATAATGAGGAGAGCCTGCTCTAATTTTTGAGAGCAGACTCTTTTGAGCCTAGAGCCACCTCTTCTTGAAGAAGAGGCTGCTCTTCTTCCTCTAGAGGCGGCTTTACTCATGGGAGAGCCGCCTCTTCCCTCCATGGAGCCGTCTCTCGCATCTTCTGCAAGCTTCAGTCCGTTCCTGCTTCACTTTAGTCCGTCCACTCCGTCTCTGGACCATTCCTACCACTCTATTGGTTTCTAAAACCCATATTAAGAGTTTAATTAACACCCAGTAATATCCCATTAATTCATTTACAATAATTGGAATTAATTACAAGAATTAAATTTGAATTAAATTTGCTACTGAACGGAATATGTTTTAAAAACCAAACTGAAATTGATTTACCACAACAGTTCCATTCTGACCCCTCTGTTCTTCCTCTAATTTAAATCTAAAGGTCTTAAATTTACATCAATTATTAATTCAAAACTTGATTTATCAGTAAGACGCAATACCAGATCAAAATAGTGGCGACTTTTTATGCTAAAACAGAGACAACGAAACCATACATAATAGAATTTTTTTCAGTTAAATCTACAGATATCAGACAATCAAATTTAGCATATAATAATAATGCATGGTTCAATTAATATCCAATTTATTTCCTAGAGATTATCTAGGTGCACAGAACACGAGCCAAAGGGAAGGAGGAAGAAAAGAACTTGCCTCCGTGGTTTTTGAACAAAAACCCTTGTCGCCATCTTTCTGGGTTTTCTGACGACGTCCGACTCATTGACAATCTCCTATTGCTCAATCGTCCCTCCTCCTAGATCCA